TTTTGGTTTTCTGATTGGTTGATTTTTTCTACCCTGTCTTCTAATTCACTGATCCGATCCTTAGCTACCTCTGCTGGTTAGTCCTTCCAATGTGTTCTTTATTTCTGTTATGTCATTCTTCACTTCCAGTTGGTTGGTTTTCAATGTTTCTATATCTTTACTCATGGTGCTAATGTCCTTACTAATTGCTGTTGAGCTTCCTCAAGATCATGGCTCTGAACTCTACCTCTGATAATTTGCTTAGCTGCATTTCATTTATCTCATCTTTGATAGAGTTCTCTTATTCTTTCATTTGTGATTTGTTTCTTTGTTTCACGATTTTGGCTGTCTCCGTGGGTTTTGGAGCCTGACAAATTTTCCCTGTGGATATTGGTGTTCTGCTGTTTTGGCTCCCTCTACTGGGTTGGGATGAGCCTGGGTGAGCCCACGTTAAACACCACTGTCAAGTCTTACTTTCCTGGGTAGATTTGCAAGCCCAGGAAAGGTTCAGTTATCCTCTAGCTTTTTCCTGGAGGCTAGTAGTCTCAATTACTCAGGGCCTTAGAATGTAGCCCTGGTGTTCTGCATAGGAGGATTTCCAGAGGGTGAGATAGATGGTGATTGTTAATGAGCCTCAATTTTCATTTCTCTACCTCACCTGGGAAAGGCTGAATCTCTAAGTTGGGGGGCTGCTGCTTTTCCCCACAGCTCTGAGAACGAGCACACTGGCCACCGTTCATCGTGGCTGCAACTCAGCAAAAACTCTGAGTGTTCTGCAAATCCCGGGTGTCCCCACAGAGTTCCAGGCCAGTGTGACCTCCCTCTGCCGGATTGGGCTTGGTCTTTATTCCCCAAGGGCGCTGCTCAGAGTTAAGACTGCTTCTGCCCGTCGGCTCCCACCTCTTGTGCCTCCGCATATCCTACCAGTGTCCCTGGTTATGTGGTCCTGTCCTGCTGCTTTTCTGTTGCTTTTTTTCTGAGGATTTGTCTTTATTTTAGTTGTAATTCCTGTTTGGTCCTGGGTGATTGTCTGTGTAGCTTCCATTCACTCCGCCTCCATTTTCACATCCTCTAAGCCTATTTGGGTGCAGCTGGGTTGCACAGGCCTCTCTGGTGCTCCTGTAGGTGCCACAGGTAACAGGATCGCACAGTCCATTTGGGGACCAGGCTCTATATCTATGTTATGGGCTGCTCAGTTGCCCAGGCCTCTCTGGTGCTTCAGCACCCCGCAGATCCCGTGGGTAACTAAATAGCACAGTCCCTGCTGGGTCGCACAGGCCTCTCTGGTGTCTCAGCACCCCGCAGGTCCTGTGCTTAAGTAGATCGCATAGTCACTGCTGGGTCGCACAGGCCTCTCTGGTGTCCCAACACCCTGCAGGTTCTGTGGGAAGGCAGGTGGATTGCACCAGTCCCTCTCAGGCTCTGGCTTCCCACCGCTCTTGTGGGCTACTGGGTCGCAGAGGTCTCTCTGATGCCCCCACACCTTGCTGGTCCGCAGGCAGGCAGTTGGATTGTACCGGTCCCTCTGGGGCTCTGGCTTCCCACTGCTCTTGAGAACTGCTGGACTGCACAGGCCTCTGTGGAGCCCCAGGTCCCGACGCCAGTGGCTGTGGAGTGCTTTTGGCCCATGCGGCTCAATTCCTGCTCAGCTTTTGCTGTAGTTATGGGGATGGGTCTCAGCTGCTGGTCTGGGCTTCTGTTGCCTGGGGATATATCTCGACTCTGATCAGACTGCTACTAAGGCGGTTGGTGCTGGGCTCCCAGCTGGTTGTAGCTTCTGTGACTGGCACCTTGGGAGCTCCACTATTGTACACTGATCTGTGTTGACACCGGGTGTCCACTGGTGCAATGGTGTCAGGTGCACTGGTGGGCTCCAGTTGCTGGGCCCTAGCCGCTCCCACTGCCTCCTCCCAGGGAAAACCAAAGATCTTCCTTTTTTTTTTTTCCCACTTCCACTTGTGACTTTATTTATTTCTCTAAATTAATTTATTTATTTTTGTTACAGATGGTTTTCCTTTTTCCCCACCGATTTGCCCCTCCCCGCTCACCCTGTCCCCAGCTTTGTTGTCCATATCCATTGTTCATGCATACATGCATATAAGTTCTTTGGTTTCTCTCTCCCCCCACCCCCTCTTCTGGGGATTCTCAGTCTGTACACCACTTCCATATCTCTGGGACTACCCCATTCCTCAGACTGTTATGTTCATTATATTCCACAAATAAGTGAGATCCTATGATACCTGTCTTTCTCTGTTTGGCTTGTTTCACTTAGGATAATATTTTCCAGGTCCCTCCATGTCGTCTCAAAGGATAAGAGATCTTTCTTTCTTACAGTCACACAGTACTCCATTGTGTATATGTACCACATTCGTCTACTGATGGGCATTTGAGCTGTTCCCAGATCTTAGCTATTATAAATAGTGCTGCTATGAACATGGGGGTACATATATTCTTTCTGATTAGTGTTTCAGGCTTCTTAGGGTATATTCCTAGCTCACTGGGTCAAATGGCAGTTCAATTTTTAATTTTTTGAGGTAACACCATATTGTTTTTCATAGTGGCTGCACCAGTCTGCATTCCCAACAGCAGTGTACTAGAGTCCCCTTTTCTCCACATCCTCGCCAACACTTGTTGTTGGATGATTTGTTCATGGCAGCAATTCTGACAGGTGTGAGGTAATAACTCATTGTTGTTTTCATTTGCATTTCTCTGATGATTAGTGATGCTGAGCATTTCTTCATATGTCTCTTAGCCATTTGTATGTCCTGTTTGGAGAGGTGTCTATTTAGTTCCTCTGCCCATTTTTTAATTGGGTTCTTTGTCTTCCTTTTGTTGAGCTGTATGAGCACTCTATATATATTGGAAATTAACCCCTTATCTGATATATCATTGGCAATAATGCTCTCCCATAGAGTGGGGGTTGCCTTTCCAGTTTCATGATTGTATCTTTCGCTGTGCAGAAGCTTTTGAGTTTGATGTAGTCCCATCTGTTCATTTTCTCCTTTGTTTCTGTTGCCTTGGGTGATGTATCAGTGAAAATTCTGCTGTGTATGATGTCTGAAATTTTGTTGCCTACAGTTTCTTCCAGGATTTTTATAAATTCATGAATCACATTTAAGTCTTTTATCCATTTTGAGTTTATTCCTGTGTAGGGTGTAAGTTGATGGTCTAGTTTCATTTGTTTGAAGGTAGCTGTCCAATTATCCCAATACCATTTATTAAAGAGGCTCTCTTTACTCCACTGTATGCTCTTGCCACTTTTGTCAAATATTAATTGAGCATACTGTCTTGGGTCCATTTCTGGGTTCTGTGTTCTGTTCCACTAAGACCTGGGATCTTCCAAAATGGTGAGACCTCCCCGCAGTGCAGGGAGAAGTGCCCTGAAGAGCCGTTTACCACGGTAGCCGGCTGTTCTGGTCCACAGCACAGGAACCTTCTGCTCCGTGTCTCTGCACTGCAGGAGTTTGATCGTCCACCTTAACGTCCACTCATACTCTCTCACACACTAGCTCACTCTCTCACACACTCACACTTCCTCTGGTCCTGCCCATCGCCATCTTCCTTTCTCAGGATTGTCTATAGTAACAATGAGTCTGTAAAGTGCTCAAATATTGGTTTCTAAATACCGATGTCCAAAAAGTAAACTAGGGTTCCTTGGAGAAATGGCTGACTCAAGGGGTAAGGCTAGGGAATACCAGAGACTGAAACATCTTCCTATGTCCAACAGGAAGAAAGTGCTTAAAGAAAGATGGGAGATGTCAGATGGACAGAGGAACCAGTTATAAGGAGATTCCTACTGACCATTCTTTCACTATAAAAGAGAAGAAAAGCTTTTCTTTAGTGAAGAATGCTAATATCCCTGGCCGGTTTTGCTCAGCGGTTAGAGCATCGGCCTGCAGTCCAGAGAGACCAGGGTTCGGTTTCCGCTAAGGGCGCATATCTCGGTTGCAGTTTTTCCCTGGCCCTGGTTGGTCATGCGGGTGGTAGCCACTCGATATGTCCCTTTCACATCAATGCTTCTTTCTCTCTTTCCCTCTCTCTCCCTCCCACTCTATCTGAACAAAAAATGGAAAAATGTCCTCGAGTGAGGATTAAAAAAAAAGAATGCTAATAAATGTGGAAGAAATAATAGAATTAGAAAATCACCATTTGTGAAACATCACAGTAATAACCATTACTAAAGATACTAAAACTAGTAAGTGAAAGCTTTATAAGAAATAAAAATATTCACAAAGATTCACTGTATCTCTCCCCCACAAGGTACTTATTATGAAGGAAAAAAAATAACTTGATAATAGAGAAATGAGGCAGATATCATTTTAATCAAGTTAACGTCACTAGTGAGGCTCTTCTGTACCTCCTAATACGATGCACTAACATGAACACAATGTGTCTATGTGTCTATGCTCTGCCTTCTAGAAGTGCACAAGCCTGAATGCAATGAGGAAGTATTAGACAAGTCTAAATTAAGGGACATTCTATAAAATATAAATGGTCTATACATTTCAAAAACATCTTAGTTATTAAAGTAGAAAAAAAATTGAGGAACCGTTCCATATCAAAGAAAATCAATGAGATACAATAATGAAATGTAACGTGATCCTGGACAATGTTTTCATTTATCATAAAGGACATTAGTGAGACAACCAGTAAAATATGAATACGGTCTATACGTATTACATCAGTGTTAATTTGCTAATTTTGATAACTGTACTGTGGTTATGTTAGAAAATGTCCTTGTTTTTAGAAAATGTACATTAAAGTATTAGTGGGCAAAAAGGCATCATATCTGTAACTTACTCCCAAATGGTTCAGAGGAAAAACAAGTACATATAGGAAGACAAAGAATGATAAAGCACATGCGGTAAAATGTTAACCTATAGGGGATCGGAATGAAGGATTAACAGAAATTCTCTGTACTATTTTTCAAAGTTTTCTATAAAAATAAAATTATTAACACAATAAAACAGTAAAAAGAAAGTAATCACAGTGCAATTACTTCCTCTACTTAGCATACACACCCAGATTTTCAATGGTGTAATAGCGCTGTTTGTAGTCCACTTTGATGGTCTGGGCGTGTGGGCTGCCAATGCCATAACCAATGGCATAACCTCTGACCACAATGTTCTGGTTCTCTGGAGGAGTCCAGCTCACTACGATGCTAGTGACAAGTGGGCGGACATGAAGAGAACTAGGTACTTCAGGAACACGAGTTTCTGGGAAGGAAATTAGAAAAGCAAGATGAGATCCATCTTCCTTTAGAATATTTCACCATCCTTGGGGGAATGCTGCTCATTCAAATCTCCTGCAAAATTATTTGGGGCTAAGTTTTTCCCATTATGCCCAAGAATTCAAAGATTATGTATATATAGTAAAGTATGGCCCATGGTTTTACTGCATTCTACAAAGAAAACAAAATCCAAACAACTTTAAATACAAGACACTGCGATATTAATTTGGAAGGGAAGACGAAGCGATTCAAGAACCTCTGCCCAATAGAGAAAAATAAGTAAATTGACTTAATAGTTACCCATTTCTCTAGGTCCCACATCTGATTCCCAAACTTACCAGTCAGAAACACCAATTAATTAAAAGCCTGTTGTCAACAGGCAATCAAGAAATCACATTACAGCAATAGTATTACTTATTTACTCCCCTACATAATAAAATAAGTCAGAAGATATGAACTTTTAGAACCACAAATTGATTTAATTGGTGGGAGATCAAGAGGCTTAAAAGGTGGCAATTTACAGTATCTTTCAAGACAAAATTGTTACCTTATTTTAAAAATTAGTAAAGCAAGAGTGAGAATAGGACCCAGGGTCATTTGTCTCCCAAGTACAGCACATGTCTCTGATAAAGGTACATATACACACCCATGAGGATTTATTCATTGGCTGAACAGGTGAGAAAAAGGGCAAAGTGTCTAAGACAAAGGGAAAAGGGAAACTAATGGATATACAGGCAAGATTCAGCCTTATATTTTAGATCATCCATGTACTTAACGGCCTTGGTGAAAAACAGACTTAAGGTGCCTATACCTTTTTATTGGTTCTGGTTCTGCTTAAAGAGACAGTTCTCTAAAAGCCACTGGGGGGTAGGGTAGGGGTGGGGGTAATCCAGGAAACTTGCTGGATTACAGGAATTACAGTAGTATAATTGATCCAAGTTCACAGATTAAAGCAATATACACCCCAAATCTATGGCTTTCCAGTTAGACTCAGTTGACTACAGTTAGAACCCTGCCTGTGTCAATCCTGCCAATTGTTCTTACCATCTAAGTCACTTTCAAAAGTTTCAGCAGACAGCCAGTCAGTAGCAGGACCTGTGCCATTTCCTGTTAGAGCAGCCACTCGAAAATTGTATTCAGTCCCCCGATCCAGACCTGAGACCCAAATGACAAAAGAAGACAAGCTGAAAACAACAGCTTTGGAAAAACAAAAAGATTAACAATCTCATTAAAGCAAATATCTCATCTACCAACGCAGTATATAGCTACTACCTTGATAAAATTTTAGCTCAAGTTAATACAAAACAAACAACAAAAACATACAGCACAGAGGAGCTTCTACCTCCAACATACAGGCTGAACTCCACACAATCCAAGAAGAAAAAAGAAATAAGTAAAGCTCCCAAGAGATAAATTTTTAAAAAAGAGTTTGAAGGCATTTTAGACACCATTTAATGCAATCCCTTCATTTTGTTACTAAGGAAGTGAAGGCCAAAAAGAGGCCAAGGATAATGAAAGTTCTAACAAAGGCCCTGGCCAGTTTGGCTCAGTGGTTAGAGCATCGGCCTGCGGTCCGGAGAGACCCGGGTTCTGTTCCCCGCTAAGGGCACGTACTTCGGTTGCAGTTTGTCTCCGGCCCTGGTTGGTCGTGCGGGTGGCAGCCACTCGATGTGTCCCTTCATGTCGATGTTTCTCTCTCTCTCTCTCCCTTCCTCTCTCTCCCTCCCACTCTATCTGTACAAAAAATGGAAAAATACCCTCGGGTGAGGATAAAAAAAAAAAAGAAAGTTCTAACAAAGGAACAAACCCAGTTAGTCTCAGAAGACACCAAAGACCAAAAAAGAATGCAAGACATAACTCCTATCATGTTACCTCTGTTCTCTGAGCCACGCCATAACCACAAAAAAAACTTTAAACACCAAACATGGCCTAGAAATCTATTACTCAACAGCCTACCTGCCCACAAGTATACATAATAAATAAAAAAGGAAAAATGTCTATTATGCAACCTTTCATATTTACTATCAGCTAATAAAGTACATGATTTACCATTGTATCAGACAACAAAGATCCACATATAAAAATCTACCCTACATAGAGCAAGAGTCAATAATATGATCAGCTATTCATATATTTGTGAATCCATTTTTCTTTTTTTTTGTTGTGTTAAAATACACATAAAATTTACCATTTTAACCTTTTTTTTATCATCCTCACCCGAGGACATTTTTCCATTCTTTGTTCAGGTAGAGTGGGAGGGAGAGAGAGGAACAGAGAGAGAGAGAGAGAAACATCGACGTGAAAGGGACACATCGAGTGGCTGCCACCCACACAACCCAACCAGGGTCGGGGACAAACTGCAACCGAGGTACGTGCCCTTAGCGGAAACCGAACACGGGTCTCTCCGGACCGCAGGCCGATGCTCTAACCGCTGAGCCAAACTGGCCAGGGCCCATTTTAACCATTTTTAACTTATCTTTATCACTGAATGTATTACAGATGTCCCCCGCCTTTTTCCCCCATTGACCCCCTCCTCCCCAATCCCGTCCCCCTCCTGCTTTCCCCACACTATTATCTGTGTCTACTGGTTATGCATATATGCATACAGGTTCTTCGGTTTCTCTCTTCTTGCCCTCCCTTCCCTTTGAGGTTCATCAGTCTAACAACCAATTTGTACTTCTTAACCCCTTCATCTTTTTCAACCAACTCACCTCCCATTAGGCAACCAACAAAAAGTTCTCTGTATCTATGAGTCTGTTTCTGTTCTGCTTGCACATTTTGTTTGTAGATTCAATTATTGATAGATATATATTTATTGACATTTTATTGTTCATATTTTTGTCTTTCTTCTTCTTCAAAAAGATCCATCAGCCCTGGCTGGTTTGGCTCAGTGGTAGAGCGTTGGCCTGTGGTCCAGAGAGACCCGGGTTCAGTTCCCGCTAAGGGCATGTACCTTGGTTGCAGTTTGTCCCCGGCCCTGGATGGGTCATGCGGGTGGCAGCCACTCGATGTGTCCCTTTCACGTCGATGTTTCTCTCTCTCTCTCTCCCTCCCCCTCCTCACTCTATCTGAACAAAAAATGAAAAAATGTCCTTGGGTGAGGATAAAAAAAAAAAGATCCATCAACATTTCATATAATACTGGTTTGGTGTTGGTGAACTCCTTCAGCTTTCTCTTGTCTAGGAAACTCTTTTTATGGCCATCGATTCTAAATGATAGCTTTGCAGGACAGAGTATCTTGGTTGTAGGTCCTTGCTTTTCATCACTTTAAATATTTCTTGTCACTTTCTCCTGGCCTGCAAAGTTTCTTTTGAGAAATCGGCTGACAGCCTTATGGGAGCTCTGTTGTAGGTAACTAACTGCTTTTCTCTTGCTGCTTTTAAGATTCTCTCTTTGTCTTTAACCTTTTGCATTTTGATGATGATGTGTCTTGGTGTGGTCCTCTTTGGGTTCCTCTTGTTTAGGACTCTCTGTGCTTCCTGGACTTGTATGTCTGTTTCCTTCACCAAGTTAGGGTACTTTTCTGTCATTAATTTTTCAAATTGAATTAGGTTTTCAATTTCTTGCCCTCTCTCTTCTCCTTCTGGTACTCCCATGATGTGCAAGTTGGTGACCTTGAAGTTGTCCCACAAGTTCCTTACACTATCCTCATTTTTTTTTAATTCTTTTTTTCTATTTGCTGTTCTGATTGGGTATTTTTTGCTTCCTTATATTCCAAATCAATGGTTTGCTTCTTGGCTTCACCTACTCTACTATGGATTCCCTATTTATTCTATTCTTTATTTCGGTTAGTGAATCCTTCATTTCTGACTGGTCATTTATTATGCTCTTGAGGCCCTCACTAAGTTCACTGAATGTCCTTATAAGCAGTATTTTGAACTCTGTATTTGTTACATTATCTCCATTTTTAGTTCTTTTCCTGGAGTTTTGTTCCGTTCTTTCATTTGGGACATGTTTCTTTGTCTCCTCATTTTGGCTGCCTCCCTGTGTTTGTTTCTATGTATTGGGTAGAGTTGCTATGTCTCCTAGGCCTCGTAGGGTAGCTTGTTGTAGTAGGTATCCTGTAGTAGGTGTTCTGTAGGATCACCCAGCTGGGCCCTTGAGGTGCACCCCTCGTGTGGACTTTACACCCTTCTGTTGTAACTGAGTCTTGATTGCTGTTGGCAATCAATGGGAGGGTTTTATTCAGGCTGATCAACTGCAAGGAATGACTGTGCCCACTAACCGCCGACCTCTGACTACCTCAGATGATCAGCCATGCAGGGGCCCACCACACAGAGCAAGACTTACTTCAGCAGGGCTCTGGTACCCCCGAGTCCATTCCTTGAGTGCGTCACTTGTGGAGGTGGTTGGGTGGTGGTGCTTCGCAGTGTTCTGAAGCTGTTCACTGGGTGTGCTGGCTCTGGGGCAAGGTCAGCCTCTGCCTGTGTTCTTTCCAGGTCCACAAGGCATAAGCTACAAAGCGATCTACAGATGGCTGCTTCTTGTGCTGGGCTTAGAGGTGCTCAGGTGAAGCCAAGCTCTAAACCAAAACTGGCTGCTTCTAGTGCCAGGCCTGGGGCCACTTAGCAAGAGGTATGGGGCTTGCTATGGCCAGATCCTGCTTGTTTAAGAGAATTTTGGAAAATTTGAAGCAGGAGCCCAAACAGGCCAATCCTATGGTGAAGCCACTGCAAATAGATTGTCTGGGCCTGAAAGATGGGTGAGACAGGGCCTCAGGGAATCATCTGGGCAGGGAAAAAAGTATGAGTCAGGTTGCTGGAGTCCCAAATATGGCAGCTGTCTGCAGGCCCCATAGAGGAAGGGCTCACCAAAGGAACAGCGGCCTCCACCAGCACTTCTGTCCAGGAGAAAGCTGCCTCTCCAGTCCTTGCCCTGATGCCAAACAACTCAGCTCTTCCTTGTACGTCTCTGGTACCTTTCAAGCTGCCTCCCCCACACCAGAGCCTGGATGGTTTGAGTCCGAGTAAGTCCATGCACGGGCCCTTTAAGAGGAGCCGCCTGGGGCTCCAGTAGCCTCAGCCTCCGTCAGCCTCAGTTCCCGCTGGTTTTTACAGCCAGAAGTGATGGGGACTTCTCTTCTTGGCACTGGAACCCTGAGCTGGGTGCCTGGTGTGTGACAGGGACCCCTTGCTTCTCAGGAAGGACCTTCACAGCTGAGGTGTCCCCTCCTGATTTTTATCTGCCACGTGGGTGTGGGACCAGCCCATCCGCACCTCCGGCCCTCCTACCAATCTTGATGTGACCTCTTCTTTAATTTTGTAGGTGTAGGATTTCCATTCAGCTTGATTTCAGGCAGTTCTGAAGGATGCTTGTTCTGTAGTTTAGTTGTAATTTTGATGTGGTTGTGGGAGAAGGCAATACCACGTTTATCTACACTGCCATCTTAACCAGAAGTCTTCCATTTTAACCATTTTTTTAGTGTATCGTTCATATGCATCCATTTTTAGAGCACTTCAATACTAGATATTATGACAGGTATTATTAGGGTTATAAAAAATTATCCTACTTCCCCATATCCAAATATTGGGATCATTGGCCAGCATATAGTATAGAAATCCCAAGTTCCTTGAGAGAGAACTTGGCCAGGATGAGCCCTAGCTCAGTTAATCAATCCTGTCACATGGTGTGAGAGGGAAAATGGGAGGTTCTGTTCTCTGCAGACCATCCTGAATGTTTTCCCACAAGAAATCAAGAAGCAAGACAGAAGGAGAAGCAAAATGGTCGGGTCCAAGTCACTTTGCCTCCATTTCCTCCCTGCATACATACAGCAGAAAGAGGCAGTGCGGCTGTACATGTAATTACAACTGTTCGAGACAGCAATCTAGACTACTAGCAAACAGGGCTCAACTGAGGTTCTGAAATAATTCAACCAATCGGATTACCATGCCCTTCCCTTTGGGGATAGTTAGAATGTACGCAAGCAAGTGAGCAAGTGAGAGAGAATGCACACGAGTATGTGCAAGAGAATCCCATGTGTAAAAAGGTTGAGTTCCTCTACCCTGAAGTCACTGACAGAGATCATAGACTAAAACTAAGGCATGCAAAGGATATTATAAAGATATGGCAGGATATGTTAAGTGCTACAAGTGGTACAAAAAGAAAAAAATTACTTCTGGCTAAAAATCATACAGTTAATGTTCAGTACAGAATCCTGGCAATCCATATTATTCTCTAATATTTATCAAGCTTCAAAGTAATGCTTCAAGGGGGCAAAGATCTCCATTTTTGCTCACCATTATACACCCAGTGCTAGCCTACACTAATAAAAATTCAATAAAGTCTGCTAACAAATGAATCCATCTAAACATGATTTTAAAATATAAACATTTTCTTGATAAAGAAAAATGTATTTTTACATGAAAATGGTATTTTCCTTATACATTAAATGTTTCATTGAGAAAATGAATAGTATCCTCATGGGCAAGGACTCTATTTTTATGTTATTAGCAACAAGAGCAGTGCCTGGTATACAGTCAACATCTGCTATTAAATAATCAAAATAAGAGTCTTACGGACAGGAAATGTTATTTAATTGTATTTGGAGTAAAATCAGAAACTGACTTTTAAGAACATCTGTGAGCAATTTTACAGTAATGCTCCTTCAGTGAGATTCCTCCAAAGCACTCACGGCAGCCATGTTTACTCTGCAGAAAGAAGACTGACCCCATGGAGACAAACATTTACCTTCTCCTATTTTGAAAGAAGTCAGTCCTATCTATGGGATGAGGAGTAAGAAGAAAAGCTTGCTGGATTACTAGAGTAATTGTTTCACTGTCAGTTGCTATCTCATTTTTTAGAAACTCATAAAGAAGAGAAGACTCATTGTATTTTTTGACACCAGATCTTAGTTCGATCAAGAACCTGGCCCCCAGAGGCACAGGAAAGTGGCTAATGTCAAGCTCCTCTTACCCTTTCAATGTCTACCCAAGAGGGAAGCAAAGTATGGAAAGTTCAGAGTTCCCCAAGAGTGATAAACTAATTCTCAGGGCTTTGATAAGAATGACAATACCTCTAATTCTTAGTTTTGCCTACCAGCTCTGCAAGAAATGCCAAATGTCTCTATTCTTTGTAAGCACAGTCCCAAACAGCCAAAAAGAAAAAAGGGTTTCATCTTCCTCCCATTGTTCTTTTGCAAAGCCAGCTTGCCCTTGCTAAGCCAACACAATTTCCCCTACTTGAGGAAGAGGGGGTATATGTCATCTATAGGGGAATCCATATTAAAGATGCACCTAGCTATGCCACTTTCTCTGTTGCACAGAAAGGAAAAACTAGGCAAAAGAAGCTAGCCCTGGCAGAATTTTCTAAGTATGATTACTGCGTTGCTATAGCTATTCACAAATGTTGTTTCAGGCCACATATACACAAGTGGTGTCAGCATTACAAAAATCATTTTGTACACTCTGCTAACAACTAGACTGAGCAGTCTTTGCTTATATAGCTTTGTTTTAATTTTTTTTTCAGATTACAAAAAAGAGATATATATGAATAAAATGGAGAATATAGAAAAACACAAGGAAATAAAACTCAAATACAATCTCACCACTCAGAGATAGCAGAACCTGTAAGATTGTTTTCCATTAATTTTTATCAAATTTTGACAAATTCTATTGAGCCATTTTAACTTTGTGTATTAAGTCAACAGCTCAAAGAGGTAATTAGACCAGCATTAGTCAGTGTCTGAGACAGATACCATTTCCCAGCTTTCGCCTATGTGCAAAGCAGCTTACCTTCAATCAGCTGAGACAGCTGTGTCCCAGCCACCAAGGTCTCAGTGACATCACTCTTTCGGGAGGCCTTTCGGTAGCGAATCTTGTAGCCAGTAATCTGCCCATTTTGTGTGGCTGGAGGAGGTGGCTGCCAGTGAATCATAATACTCTGGAAAGGATAAGTTTATAGGGAAAAGACACGATATGTCAAAAGCTTGACTCTAACTATATTATGTATTATTACCCTGAATTTCGTGGAAAGAGAAGAAACATAAAGGCAGGAGGGTGATTAGAGTTTTATTATTTAATAATTACTGAAAAATACTTTTTAATTTTAAAACCCCCAATGATTAAAATGGGAGATAATACTTGCAGGTAGTATACTCTGGGCCCTGAACTCCTGAGTGTTTTGCCAGAATGAAGACACTAAGCAAAAGTCTCAAACATATTTTCAGAAGAAAATATAAGGTGAGAGGCACATGAATTGGGAAGTAAACTGTTGTTAGGTGTAAGGTTCTCTTTCTCATGTCAATTGTGGAACAGATGAAATTAGACAATTTATGTCTCAAACAAAAGGAGATCATTAATTAACAGCTGGTTGTTTTATAAGTTTTTTAAAGGACTGAACATCTCAGGTGTCTATGTAGCCCAGAAGGGGCTCTGGGACTTTCAAGAGGTGTACATGCCTTAAGTGTACAGTGAACGTGACTAGGAGGGATGGTTTCAGCATCTGCAACCATCAGACATATTCACACTGGGCTCATCTCACAGGATTAGGGGACTATGGTATCATAAATGACTTACTTCGTTCTACCTAATCACCAAGGTTCTGGACTGTTAAGATTTAGAATATAATAATTCACATAATATATTTGCAGAAAGGCTAAAGTAATTTTGGCATCAGAGAAAGGCAGTAAAGTTAAATAGAATAAAGTGACTTGGTTTCTAAGCCTAGCTTTAATGGCAAGTATAGTATCTAGGTCACCTTACTTCCTGATAATGACTGTTTTGATATAGAATCTCCCTCTCTACAGGTCCTTCAGAGTCTTAATAATATACAGTAAAAGTAAACAATGGTAATATAAAGTTTTACCTTTGAATTTCTTACTTCTAAGGACAGATTCTGAGGAGCAGCACTGGGAACTGGACAAGCAAAAAAAAAGATTTTCAATTACTCATTATTTCTTCTTGTCTGGACTTTACACAAATGCACATCTCAAACACTGGTCATGAAACCCGAAGGCCTAAATCCATCTGTCGGTGTCATTGTGTTGAGAGTAGTATGTGGATAAAGTGTGGTCATGTTTGACTCACTTAAAAAAAAGTAGACACCTTCATATATATGCACCCATACTCAAGTCAGGTTGTACCTTTGGGAAGTCAGATAATTATTTCAAGGATGTGACTGACTAAACTTTTCTAGACCTCAGATACATTCTGAACCTTCAACATACTCTTTTGATTATTCTTGGTGATAACATAGCTTTATTTTGGGGAAGAGCCACAAATTTTCTGGAAACAAGTCTAATAAATATGGCAAGTGAATGAAGTGGGTAATGTCATTATGAGTCCAAACTGTGGTGTACACAAATCAATGAGCTTGGCTTTCCAGTGGAGTTCCAAAATTGGTTTTGAAGGCAGTTTCCAAGTAAAGCAAAGAAATATTTGGGCAACAACAGCTTCAGTAAAGTGACCATCTGGCTTCCCTAGACAACTGTATAGCATGAAACATTCATTCAGACATGAGAAGTTTGGGACTGTTGCTTAAACAAACAGCTGCATAACTTTAGTTCCTCACATATTAGAACATAAGACAGGGGTATCTCCCTCCAGCACTCCCCTCTGTAGTAACTAAAGCAAGCAAAGAGAATTCAAGTAAGCCTATATAGTTTCTTCTCTGCTCACAAAATGCTGACTTTAGGTCTTCTTTCCTAATCCATCTATGGAATCTTCTCGCCCTTTCTCTGACATTTCGTGACTAAGTGCCCACAATGCAATATGCTTCTGGAGGATGCCTCAATGTAATATCCTGTACAAAGTGCATCAGGGCTCAACCCTCAAAGGGTCTGGAGTAGGACTTAGGCCCCTGTGCTTTGAAAGATGTCCATAAATGGTTCCAATCATCTCCCTGTTAAGAACCTCTGACTTAGCTGAAGAAGCACCCAACCTAGTTGTTGTTGCCGCTGTCTTCATATTCATCATAGCTAAGATTTGCTGCAAGCTCTTACATGGCAGGAACTTAATCCTTACAACAATGCCACACAGGAGTGTCCATTATTATTCCCACGTTATAGATGAGGTTCAAACCTCTTGTCCATAGTATTTATTTCAGCTAACATAGGAACCAAAATTTGTCTTACTCTCAATTGCTACCCTTAGCTATCATGCTCAGACACATTCATTTCCCTCACAGGCACTTTGGTTGGCATGCTAACCCACACAGAACATAATGGCAGGGATAATACAATGAATGCCACGTATTCTTTTCCTGAATTCAACAACTGTTAATGTTCTTCCACATTCTGCTCTAGTTTTTATTATATCTACATACACATGTTTATCTATCTACAGATTGTTTCCAAGTCACCTGAAAGAGAGCTGCAGTCACCATGATACCTCACTCCTAAATACTACAGTATGTGTCTCTTAAGATCAAAGACATTCTCCAACCAAACTATAATACAATGATTACTTTAAAATTTAATCTTAACACAAAGTATTATCTAATATACCTAATAACACATCTAATATTAATACTACCTAATACTATACCTATTTAACATCAAGTCAATGTATAAATGGTGTCCTTTATTTATTTATTTTTACTCCTAGATCCAGGAACCAGCCAAAGATCACACCTGTTTTATGTTATTCATGTGCCTCTTTAATCTAGACTCTAGAATGAGTCCTTAACCTTATTTTTTTTCTTTCATGAGACTAATATTTTTTAAAGAATTCAGGCAAGTTTATTTTATTTTTTGCAGACCTTCCCCCAATTTGGATATGTCTAGTTGTTTCATTGTGATTAGATTCAAGTTAAACATTTTTCACAGGGACACAACATAGGGGAAATAGGTATTGTGTCTTTCTCAACATCTCAGATCAGGACATTAAGACAGTCAGCTCTGTTTTTGTTGATGTTACGTTTGACCATTTGTTTAAAGGAGTCAAACTACAGCTTTTAAAGCATGCATGTTTATCTATAAGGGGTATATACTCATTTTTTAGAAAAAGATATTTTTGTAACACATTAAATTTAGGTGAGTTTCAGGACACAATATAGACACTAAGTATAACAAACTCTATTACTTTCTGTTCTATTCTTAAAAAATCTATTTTAAAATACTGGTTCTTGATCTACTCAATCTCTTTAGCAAGCCGTAGTTTAAAAAAACACTGCTCTAGGTAATAGGTATATATATATATATATATATATATAAAAATAAAAATAAATAAATAACTGCTCTAGGTAACGGGCATATATATAACTTAGCTTGGAAATTCAGTCAAAGGTGAGAAATGAAACTGTCCTAAAACACTGAGGAATTAAAAAGATCTATGTGGCATGCAAATATTATTGCTAAGTTGAGCAAGGCTAGCCTTCCCACAGCCCTTGAGTAGTCTGTGTTATGAATAAGAAATAACATTCACTTATACAAAAGCCCCTACTAAAAATAAAAACACCAAGAAGTTATTTGGTACCAGGTACTACCATGTTCTATTATCTCTCCCTAAATCTTTATAGCAACCCAGTGAAGTTGGTATTATTTACATTTTACATTAAGGAAACATACTCAGACGTGTTAAGTGACTTGGCCAAAGTCACACTACGAAAATCAGGTACTGGGATTTGAACAGGGTCTTCCTGACATCAACACCCATGACCTTACTACTATGCCAACAGGGCCCCCAAGCACAGTATTTTGTTCCAAAGGAAGAAAGACTTACCATCTGACAGTGTTTGAACAGCAACATCTTGTGTGGAGACTCCAGGACCATGTTTATTGTAGGCCACAACTCGGAAACTATACTCTGTATATTTTTTCAACCCATTAATGGTATGGGAATGACTTGAAATATCAATATCCTTGAATAAAATAAAAATAATTTATATATACACAACTCACATCAAAAGAAATATTACAAAAAAGAATGAACTATATAAAGTCTATATTTGACACAATGATGATTTTTATCTTTTATACAGAATGTTGCTTAACAGTCAAAGCAGATGAACTATAAACACTGTAAATTTACTGAGAAATACTGCTTTGTGTTATCCTTGCTGGTAAAATCTATAAAATAAATCTTGGCACAAAGAAATAGAATCTGTCAACTTTTCATTTCCTATACCTCTTTTTTTATCTCATATTTCTAGACTAGCCAGTATTAAGTTTTGAAAATTCAGTTCAACTCTATTATTCCAATCAAGGGATTGGAAACTGGCTTCATATAATCACCATGTATGGTGTCAGGTGGGTACTAGACTTATTGGGGGGATCACTTAATAAGGTATATAAATGTTTAATCGCTATGTTGTACACTTGAAACTAATAATATATGTCAAGTGTAATTTAAAAATAAATTTAAAAATAAATTTAAAAGAAAAATGGCTTTATCTTATACCTGTTCTTTGTCAGTCCCTTTTTCCATGTAGTACAATTTGTAATTCTGAATTTCCCCGTTGCCAGACAATGGTGTTTCCCAGGTGACAGTGATGGAAGTAGGGGAAGTTGCATATGCTCGGATGTTAGGTGCGGGGCCAGGGAGCTGAACTAGAAAGAAAATTTCAAGACAACAAGATAAAAATGAAATTTACTGAACTCCTTGATAACACTTCTCAGCAATCATGACATAATGGCGATGTTTTAAAAATAATAACCTAAGAAAATAATTGATTTCACTGAAGTGGTTTTAGGATAATATATAATTAAACAAATTTCTCTTTTTATGACTTAAAACCAAATTTTATCTGTGAAGAATCTCAAATTTGTTAAAAGAAGAAAAAAAAAAGAACACCGCAGAATTCTTCTTTTGTTACTTATGACGGCACATATAAAGCTACCACCACAAGAGAGCCTCTTGTGCTAGCTCATGAGGATGCAGGGGTGGACAGAACTATAAAATAGTTACAAATAATGTCATAATTACCAACAGTTAAGTAGCGAATGTAACAAATTGCTTTGGGAGGATGTGGGTAAGAAAGGGCAAAATTGATGACTTCTAGGGAGCAACAATAATGAAAAGTTTTCTCAGATGTCAAGTGGAAAATTATTCCAGCAAATGGGGAATAATTTGTGAGAAGAGATTATTATGTAGTTGAGGCTGAAACAGAGAGTAGATGTGGGAGAGAGAACAAGAGCCAGATAATGAAGGACCTTTAATGCCCTGCCATGGACTCTGAATTATCTTACAGATTTTAGATAATTACTGAAAAATTATGAGCAGGAACATGACATGACATGATCAGTTACGTGTTTAGAAAGGACATGTAAGCACCCGTATGGAAGAAAAACAGTAAGGCAAACAGACTAGATAAAAGAATAATTTTAAAAATAGCTACCTTTTATTGAATGCTTGCTATCAGTCCAGTATTAAGTGCTTTACATGTATTTAAATTACATTTATGTAATGTTTGTGCTAACCCAAATGAGATGGTTCTATTATTACCCCTATTCACAGATGAGATTGAGAGGTTAAGAACCATTCCCAAGTGATGGGAAGTTAGTTGAGTGGTAGAGCCAGGAACTGAGCATTTTTGATTCTAAAATGTGGATTCAAGACGACCGGTTAGGAGATTATTACAACCTTCTCCCCTTAGGACATATGTGACTGGATGACTCAAAGATACAATATTAGACAGGATCAGAGGAATGGCAGGATCAGAGGAAAGCCATCTGAGCTAGGTCTTTAAGGATCAGTAAAATTTGAAAATTTATCAGTAGAATTATATTGTTTTACATTATTCACCACTGTTTGATGTCAATTAATTTTACCTCTTCTAACTAATTCATAAAATCCTTAAAGGTAAGGAACTGTTCTTATCTTTTATACTCCTATGGTGTTGAAGGTTACATACAAGGCAGACCTTTCTCCCAGGTCTACCTATAGCCAGGGCAGCGTGGCTCAGTGAATTGGATTCCTGATAGGGGCACATCCCCGGGTTGTGGGCTAGATCCCTAGCAGGGGACAGCCAATTGATGTTTTTATCTCATATCGATGTTTCTCTCTCTTTCCCTTCCTCTGTCTCTAAAAATAAAATTAAAAAATCAATAAAAAATATTTAAAAACAAACAAAACAAAACAGGTCTACCCACAAGTAGGGCTGACAAACAGGTGGAAGACTTACCCTCAGGCTGTGTTTCTACTCGAAGAGGAGCTGAACTCTCTCCAGAGCCATGCTTATTATGAGCCATCACTCTGAAGATGTACACAGTCGCTGGCATTAGATTTTGAATAGTCACTTGCATTTCTCCTGGGTGACTGGTATTCTCAACACGTTCCCTTTGGACAAAGAGGGATTCAGAAAGAAAAAGCAGATAAGGAATATTTTTAAAATGTGCAGTTTCATTTTCATTGCAATGCCTATAGATACCATACCACATCAAAATCTTACAAATTTAAGTCAAATTAACTCTCAAAAAAGGACACTTTTGGGATGGAAAAGTGCACAGCAGAATTGGGAAACTTGCAAAAAGCAATGTCATACATGTCTGATAATTTACTGATGTTGTTTAAATATTGCTGATAGCACTGGTTATAATCACAACTTTTTTGCTGAGAAGACACAGACCCTAAGGGTCTTCTTAATGCCATTTCAAGTGGGGCAACTGGTTATCAATTTTGTAGGCTTCAAAAATTATGGAATTTTAAGGAGTGATTCTCAGGTGAACAAAAGGTAAATATAGGTATGACCCAATTTTCACAGAAAATACCAAGGGATGCTGTATGTGTTTTTGATAATAGATTCTCAACAAAAGAAAAACTAGAGATTATCACTTTTAAAATTGGGAAGAGAATATCAAACATTTAATGAAACCTAATCATGACACTGGTTTTTATAATTTATTTTTTAAAGAGAATATTGTTTTGGAATCATTTCTTCAAAATGATTTGAAATGTTTGACTAATCTTATCACAAACAGTACAAGTGAATCTAGCATAGTGTCAGGAGATAAAAATATAAAGGTAATTTTCTAGGTTCTTTAAAAAAGGTAGCATCCAGGCTCAATCTTGGGGGTGTTTGTGTCCACATTTGGATCTATAATTATGCTTAGTCTACTGTACTTACTATAACAAAAACCAGATCATATAACACGAGTTTTCAACAAATAATTTAAAGAAATGTATACGTTTTAGACAAAGAACTAGCCTTTTTTCTTTTTTTACATTTTCAGACAGTGGGAGGGTGGGGAGGACATGGAGAAACATCAGTTCAAAAGAGACACATAGACTGGTTGCCTCCTGCATGACCCCAACCGGGGCCAGGAACTGAAACGCAACCGAAGTACATGCCCCTTGACTGGAATCAAACCTGTGACTTTTTGGTCCGTGGGCTGATGCTCTAACCGCTGAACCAAACCAGCCAGGGCCGATGAATTAGCCTTTAAAAATTGCTAATCATGTGAGGAAAGATCTGTATCTATCTTGAGAGAAAAATGAAAAGGCCCGGGATTCCAAAATGGCGGCGGAGTGAACGGAGCTACACAGACCGTCTCCCAGGACCAAACTGGAATTACAACTATAACACAGACAAATCGACAGGAAAACCAACAGAAAAGCAGCTTGGGAGGACCATACAACGAGGGACACTGACTCCATCCCGGGAGGCTTGCGAAGGCGTGAGACGGGGCTGGGAGCCCACGGTCGGCAGTGGCCTCAGCTGGGAGCAGCGCCCTCGGGTCACACTCCCAGGCGGCCCCACAGCGCAGCCGGGACAGAGGCTGAAAGAGCCACAGCCACTCACCTTGGGCTCCGGCAGAGGGAGGGCAGACTGGACTGGAGCTGTGTGGGGACACTCGGGATTTGGAGGGTGCTCAGAGCTTTGGCGGAGTGCAGCCACGCAGGATGGTGGCCATATTGCTCCTTCCCAGGGCTCTGAGGAGAGGCAGCAGCCCCTCCCTCGGAGATCCAACCCCACCCTGTGGGCCATTGAAGTGCTAACTGAGGCTCACTAACAACCAGCATCTGTCCCACCCTAGGGAAATCCCCTTATGCTGAGCACCTGAGGGAGTTTTTCAATCAACTGACAACCCAAAACTCTTCAAGTAACCTGGACTGCTAGCCCCCAGGCAAAAAGCTAGAGGACAACAATACCTTTCCTGGGCTGGCAACTTTAACCAGGAAAGTAAGACTTGACAGTGGTGTTCAACGTGGGTCCTCCCTCACTCATCTAAACACAGGAGAGGGAGCCACAAACAGCAGAACACCAACACCCACAGTGAAAACTTGACAGGCTCCAAAGCCCACTGTGATAGCCAAAATGGTGAAACACAGAAACAGAAGCCAGATGAAAGAGCAAGAGACCTCCACCGAAGATGAGATCAATGTGGAGCAGTTAGGCAAGTTAACAGAGCTAGAATTCAGAGCCATGATCTTGAGGAAGCTCAACAGGACATAGAGACGCTGAAAATAAGCTAATTGGAAATTAAAAACCATCAATAAGAGATAAAGAACAATGAAAAGGCCCAAAACTCCTCTGTGGAAGAAATTATTTAAATTTACCTAGTATACTGAATTATAATTCTTACTTTAAAATACTGATAATTTTCCCTGAAATTACGTACTGATTAAAGTGTGTTTAGTTCTATGTGACCATATCTCAATTTGTCTGACTGTATATGAACATTTGCATTTTAGAGATTTAAGTGTTTTTCAATAGTTTTCTATAGTTCTTTACACTACCTTCTTTTAATTAAAAAACAAACAAATAGTACTACATCATATTTATAGAGGTTGTTTTTCTATAATCAGGTGCATTGGAAAAGAGTACTATGGTAACAAAATTGATTACTCAGAGATATTTGAGATACTTATAGATATTATTTTTCTCTCAGGTAAACCTCTAATTCACAAGATTTAGGAGGATGGCAACTGATTTCTTACATTTGAGGTTTCTGACACTTGATTTTATCACAAGCAACTGCTGTCTGAAAGGAAGTATGGTATTTTACATCTCACTAAACCAATGATTTTCAACCTTTTTCATCTTATGGCACACATAAACTAATTACTAAAATTCCGAAGCATACCAACCAATATATTTTTTCATGATATAAAAAAAAATAGGTATACTTTTTCTTCCTTCACACTGGATGGCTATTGTTGTGTTGGCTATCATTTTATTATTTGACAATCTAATAAAAAAGAGGTCAGTGCCCCTGACTAAATAGGTATTACATGTTTTTGGTTTTTTTTTTATCCTCACCCGAGGACATTTTTCCATTTTTTGTTCAGATAGAGCGGGAGGGAGAGAGAGGAAGAGAGAGAGAGAGAGAGAAACATCGATGTGAAGGGACACATCGAGTGGCTGCCACCCGCACGACCAACCAGGGCCGGGGACAAACTGCAACCGAGGTACGTGCCCTTAGCGGGAACCGAACCCGGGTCTCTCAGTACCACAGGCCGACGCTCCAACCGCTGCGCCAAACCGGCCAGGGCAGGTTATTACATGTTTTAAAAATTCCTGCAGCACACCAGTTGCAAATCACTGCAATAAACTATAAGCTCCAAGTGAGAGTACAGATTAGGTCTGTTTTGCTCACTCTGCACTTAAAAAGTTTGAACAAGTTCTCTCTGACAAAGATGGGAGTGTTATTTTACTTCAAATTGAAGGGAATGAGTGTCCCATGCGTGTTCACATCCCACAGATGCATTTAGCAGAATACTCATACACAGAAGCAGCATCACAAATGTGTGCTGAGTGAATGAACTGAAATTTGTCTTCTGATATGTAAATCTTGCATAGTAATGATATTATGTGTATCTTTGTTCTATGTGACAGGAAAAAAATAGGAGACGTGAGTGAAGAGAATGAAAAACTTAGAAAAAGTTTCAATAGAAGCATTATAATAAAATGCTTCCAAAAGCCTTCAAACAGTAGATGGGTTTGAGGTCTCAGAACCAAGTGGCTGTCGAGAAAAAAACTTCAGGACAAGGGTGAGTTATAAAGGACAATTCTCATAAACATGTGAGGTTACAGTGGGACTTAGGTTAGAATGTGTTAGCTAAGAGCGGAACAGAAAGAACAAGGCATACTTCATATTGAGACAGTATTGGGCTAGTAGGCTAGGAGCTCCAGTTCTAGTTCTGGCAACACTACTGGCTTGTTAGGGGACCATAGGACAGTCACTTATTCTTTCTGGGCCTCAGTTTATTCATGTATTAAATGAGGAAAAAAAAAAAAGAGATCAGGGTGGCAAACGTTTTTTAAAGGGCCAAATATTTCTTAAATATTACAGGCCAATGCCATGGCCAGTTTGGCTCAGCAGTTTAGAGCATTGGCCCATGGACCAGAGAGTCCCGAGTTCAGTCCCCGCTAAGGGCACGTACCTTGACTGCAGTTTGTCCCTGGCCCCAGTTGGGGTTGTGTGGGTGGCAACCAGTCAATGTGTCTCTCACACATCGATGTTTCTCTCTCTCCCTCCCATTCTCCCTCCTCCTCTATCTGAAGATAAATGCAAAAAAAATGTCCTCGGGTAAGGATAAAATAAATAAATAAATAAATAAATATATATTACATTATAAGCCAAGAGGCCAAATGGAAAATATTATGTAGTTACTGATATAACTTATTAAAATAAAACCATATGAAAATGTAAAAACTATTCTTAGTTCCTGGATCATAAAAATAACAAGTCTGATATGACCCAGGGTCCAAGTTTGTCAACTCCCAGACTAGACTAACAGATACCTAAGGCTTTGTCCATCTCCCAAATGTTATTCATTTCTAGAATAACTTACTCTGTATTCTCCATTTGGTAGCTAATGTCAGAAAAGTACTGCTATTTACATTAAAGACACTGAAAGAAAAATAAGGTGAACATTTACTAGCTGAAAAGTCAGAGAAACTCTGGAACCCAACAGAATTTAGCTCATGAACAAGGCACACAGTACCATCTGGTGGTTGAATTTTCAAATGCAGGAAGTAGGCTTATAAATCTATGAAGTTATTCTCACTTTTTGATGAGAAAAATTCTTTACAAAACAAGTAACTAGGACCTAGTCTTTTTATTTAAGTGTTCTTTCTATTCCTTCATTGCTTCTATTCAGAAATTATAAACTTAAAAGTAATGAAGTGACAAAACATATTAGTCTCCAAGAATCTTCCTTTGAAATATTCTGCAGATTTATTCTGTCCACTCCAAGTCACTGTTGTCATCTTCATCCAGGCCATACCTACCACACACCAAGATTAACGTAACTACTACCTGATTTGTTTTCCTGACTCCATTTCTTCCCCTTCTAGTCTTGTGCAGTACTCTCAAAGTACCGCTAATAAAAACTGTTTAATAAAACCACACTGCACACTTGCTCAGAGTCTAAAATGGTCCCTACTTAATGGATTATGTCCAAATTTTTATCGGCATTCCAACATTTTGCTTCAAACTTCCACTTTATTACAATATCTAACTAATTTCTACCAAAAACTCTGGACCAGTTAGACTAGCTTTCTTAATTTCCCAGCCTTTAACCACCATACACACAAATTAAATTGGATCCTCCTTGCAATCTTCCCTTCCTTTGTACTCTATATCCCTTGCCAATTTTACTCATATATATTTTTAAATTCCAACTTCATTTATTAATCACCCCTGATTATTTCAACCCATGATACATTTAAAAATTTTTAAATGATAGATTTCATTAAAAACAAAAATATATATAATTTAAAAATTTCAAAGTCCAGTTTTCCTGCTCCTCAAAACCTGCCCTGCCCTGAGACATAACTGTGACATGTATTGACCTGTATCTTACCAGATCTCTCCAAGTCAGGCTCTCTCAACCTCAGCACTACTGAGAGTGGGAGCAGGAGAATTCTTTGTTGTAGGGAGCTGTCCTGTACACTATAGGGTGTTTATCAGGATCTCTGACTTCCACTCATTGGATGCCAGTAAGCATCTCCTCCCATCTCAGTTATGATAACCAAAAATGTAGCCAGACATTGCTATATGTCTCCTGGGAGACAGGGGGCAAAATTTTCCCTGGTTAAAAATCACAGCTACAAGTATTTACATACCCATCAAAATATATAGATATGTCACTAAAAAATTCCTGCATCATACTTCATATGGATATACATATACTTATTATGTGCTCATTGCTCTATCAATATTTACACTGTTTCCTTTTTTATTCTTAGAAACAATGCTATAATAAACATTTTATATGAGTGCCCTATGTAGGACAGACACCTAGAAATGTGATTGTGGGACTAAAAGGTATATGCATTAAGAAGATACAAAATTCTGCCAAATCACCTTCTCCAAAAGCTACTCTAATTTATACTGTCACGAAGGGCCTAGAGTTAAATTTCTTCCCAGCATTTAACTCACTGAACACCATCAACTTAAAAGTTTTGCTAGCTTTAAGGTGAAAAATGGTAACTCATTATTTCGTATTTCCGATTGGTAGTGACAATGAAAACCTTTTTTAAATTCGATGAGCTTTCCACTAACTTTGTGAATCATCATCTACTCATACCATTTGTTTCTTGGGATATCTGTCTTTTACTTATGATCACAGCTCTTTACATGGATTGAATATCATTGTATCTTTTGTAAATATTATAAATTTTTCCCACCTTATAATTTGATAGTTTGACTTTATGATATTTTGCCACATGGAATTTTACACTCTAATATAGTAATAAAAATAGCTTCAATATTTTTTCTAATACATTTACCAATTTTAAAAATATATCTTGATCCATCTGTAATTTGTTATTACACATGATACAAGAGACAGAACTTTTAATCTTTCCACTAAATGAAGTTAATTATTTCAACAGAATTTCTTGAATAATTATTATTTCTCCATTGACTGAGATTAACTTATTCTCTTAACAAATATTTATTTAGTGCTACTATATGCCAGGCTCTGTTCTAGGTGCTGGGTAATACTCTATTGAACAAGACAAACATAATAAATACATTAATAAACAAAGAAAATTTCAGAGTGATAACATATTCCAAAACAAAAACAAAGAAATTAAACAGGGTGATGTGATGGCAGTGGTGTTCTGGTAAATGTTTAATAGTCAGCTCTGGATTGCAGCACTTGTCACTGGAAATACTCCTGCCATGTTCAAATTCAAGCTACCAAGCCATGTCATAAGGTTTGCAAAGTTCCCTGGAAATTTAATAACTGGCTTGGAATAAGGTGGCTTCAGCACAGTATAGTGTGAGAGTGACTGAGAGGCTAAGCTCGGGTTCATGGAAGCCCGAGCAGGTGTTATCTGAGGTGACAAGAGCCAGACACAGTTAATTGTGAGGAAAGCGCACTTCTAGTAGGAGGAACAGGGGGAAGGTTCCATAAGAACAAGCTTGCTGTTCTGAGGAGCTAAATCCTTTCTTCTTCCCATGAAATCCTATGAAATTTGCAATGAGATTTGAAAGCCAATTGGAAACTTTTTAACACAGATGTTGTTTGGTAGTAATGTCTTGCTTTTCTGTGTCTAGAACTATGTTTCCTATCTTTGTTAATTTCCAAAACATCCAGTGCAGTGTTCAGATAAACATTATCCTAGGAGTGGCCCGATCCATCTGGTTCAATTATGATATTCGGACCGCTCCAGAGCGTTAAATCAAAGGTTCCTGCATTTGCTAAACTTGCCAGTCTGGTATTGAAAACAATATATATCAAATGTCAGCACCCTAGAAGAAATATAAGCTTTATATCACGTGTTTGGGCCCTAACCAAAACAGATACTTGAGCTTTCTTATTCTGTGGTGAAGTAACAGCACAATGAAGAAATCTACCCAGCAATGTTAGGAACACATAGTTAGCACATGGCAGGGTTCCTCACAAAGAGTTTATAATCAGGCTGGGAAAACCACACCAATGTACATGAAATAATAGAAGAGAAACTTAGGGCAGCATAAGATCATGTGTTACCATAATTAAGTGCCAATATGAGTGGTACAAACATATATATAAGAAAAATGCTGTATGTACTGAAAAGGGTAGAGAAAGCTTTATGAGGCATTATGGGGCTTAACCTGGGCCCAGACAGATGAACTGAATTTAACTTTAGCTGAGAAAGAGGAGAGGAGGATGTGAATGAAAAGATTAGATTGGGAGAAAAGGCTACACAGTGATAAGAACTGAATTAATGTCATTAGAAAGTGAGTTCAACTGGGAGGTAAGAAAAGTAAGCTTAGACAGATAGAAGATGGCTAGACTGTGGAATACAGAGGCCTGGGGAGTCTGGATAATCTAAAAGCAATGGAGAGGCATTGTGAGGTTCTAAAGGGGGTAGAGATGGAGAGGAATGCAATGAAAATGTTTTCTTTAGGAAAACTGATCTCTAATTACTCTTGTGTCATCCAGGAGACCCCCACCCCCTGAAGTTCAGCAGCCCACATACACATAATGGTGCAGGCAAATATTCTTTCAGATTACTTTAATAAGTTAAGTCTACCTGAATTTCTAGAATCTGAAAGTTCTATATAAGCCATTATTTATTAGGCTGTACTGACTGAATCTTAAAAACAAAGGGTAGCCCTAGTTACATTTTAATACTTCAACTTCAATAGCTCTATCTACCCTCTCCCCAGGACATCCCAGAAAGACAGGAAAAATTACCAAAACTTCAGTCTGTTTGGGAATTTATTTTTAATTATCGAAAATTAGGAAAGATACATCTCAGTGATATTTTCTGAACTGAAAATTGGTATATATCCTGTACAACAAAGAGCCAGGATGAGCGTGACCGGGCTGGGTGGGCCAAGATGTAGCCAACGAGCTTCAGACATGTGGGCACTTACCTAGCAATCCCCTCCTTGGTATAGAAGACAGAGTAGGTAAGATTGTCTCCATGAGGATCTGATGCAGGTGTCCGCCATGTCAATTTGATGAAGCGGGTAGAGACCAGAGAGGCCACGACATCCCGAGGAGCTGAAGGCAGTGGTCCCGTTGAGGCTGGTGCTAGATGGTCAGTAGTGGCACTGGTCAGTGAAGTGGGAGGTAATGTTGGGATGGCAACATCTTGTCATGTGCAAACATTGGGGAATATGAAGGGCAAACCACGATGGTTTTACAAAAGAGAACAGAAAAAACAAAAAACAAAAAAGAAATAAACAAAACCACGATGGGAAATAAAATAAAATGAATAAACATAAAAAAGGCCATTAAACTGAAGGCTGACATGCAGGCCAGGGGAAACTAATGGACACTATTCAAGACACATCACTGTTGAGCAAGCAGACTTTCTGGTAACTATAACAGCTGTGGGCAAGGGACAGGAAAGTGAAAGTTGAGAATAAAACATCTCACAGATGGACACAGCAGTGCCCAAGTAATTTTCTTTAATCTTGAAAACAGCATCTGTCAAACTCTACATGTAAAAAACACGTATGTGATAAAACCTCAGTATTTTCTACTTTATCAAAATGTGGAGTGATGTGTGCAGTATGCATGAGCCTAGTTACACTCAACATAGGCCAGGCTATTATGACCTCACTGCGAAGCTGTGTGTGTCTTCTGCAGGGATTCAAGAGAAACATTTTCAATTTTAGTCTAATATTAAACTCTGCTCTCTGGCAGTACACAGAGAAATCTGACAAGCTTCCTTACTTTGCTACGTTATAGTTCATTTGCTACCTTATCAATTCATTTAACTATGGCAGTATAAAATCATGAATCAAAAAATCTAAAGCCACAAAACTACAATATATAGGTAGCTTATCTGTTTGTTACAGTTCTTACCACAGTGTACATTACACAAGAGAAGGGCTGGATGGAGCACTGGAAAGTCAAAGCTCTTATTAGTATACCCGTAGTTGTAGGTAACTTTAATACCTTCTGAGGTAGTCCTGTGGACACTTCTGACTTTACAAGTTTATTCCTAACATTAAACCTAAAATATCCTTTGCCTTGGGGCCAGAAAGCATAAATTTAATATCACAATTTTTAACTAAATGAGTTCATTAGAACTGTGTCATAACCTCAATGGGGAAAATAGAATAGAAGCAGAGAGAAAAACATGAAAATTCTCTACCTAGTTTTCAATGAAATGGCAGAGCAAAAACCCCATGGAAATGTCTGTGAACTTCAAGAAACTCTAAAGTGAAGCAGTCTAAATAAATATGCCAGAGAGAATCAATTCTGTAAGGGAAAAGGCACAGGAAGAACAACGTAAAGTCTCTAATAGGTGAAGAAGAGGAAAGAGTAATCCAATAGCTACCATTTACTGAACACTTTCTACACAGCACTCTAGACTTAATATGGACTCGTTTAATTCTTACAACAACTCTAAAAATAGGTACTATCTCTACCTTACATACAGAGACCAATATTTAAAGAGCTCACCTCATCATCCTAGGTCACACATACTAAGTGCTAAAGTGTTAAATCCAAGCTTGGTTTTTAGTTTAAGAGATCTCTGGATTTAGCCAATAGGAGTTCTAAGCCTGGCTGTGCCACTTACTAATTATGTCACCTGAGGAAAATCAGTTATTCTCTTGCATTATTTCCTTTTCCTCTTCTTTTAAGGAATTGTAAGAGTGACGAGTACTATCAAAATGTAAGACTATGAAGTTATAGTTCAGATACAAGTACACACTTAACTGATCTTGTATCAAGTGTCAAGTCTCAATGGCCACTGAGGCCTCATTCTTATCCTTTATATTTAAACAGAAGTGCTGCCTCAAAGAATATAAATACCTGTCACTCACAGCTGTCAGAGTTCTTTTTCACACACTGTGTTAGTTTATTCCCACAAACAACCCTATGAGGTGAAGTGGTAATGACAGGATTGAAGGTTGGGGTGAGGGTTAAAAAGGAGTCCAGGACTCCTGGGTTTCCAGTGTGGAAGAATGGGTAGTTAATGGTGTCATTAACAGAGAAAGAAACAACAAGTTGAGGGAGAGAGTAAATTTGATTTTAAACATGCTGTGTCTAAAGCATGATCCAACATTCACAAGAGAAATGTACAAGAATTTGAAGGATTCCAAGATGGCAGGAGACTGACTGGAAGCTACACTGACTTTCTCCCAGGGCCAACCTGGAATTACAACTAAAGTAGAAAAACCATCCTGAATAACCAACTGAAGACTACCAAAAGAGAACTCTTATAACCAAGGTCATACGGAGGAGCCCACATCAAGACTGGAAGTGCAGAGATGCAAGAGGACAGGCAGAGCTCCCACAGACAACAGCTCAAGTGATGGGGGAATATCTCAGCTATGGGGGTTCCCCCTGAGAAGTCTGGAGTCTAAAGCCCAAACTGGGCTCCCCAGCCCAGAGTAACAGAACCAGGAAAGATGCCCACTGGCTATGAAAAGCACTGGAGGTTCTGTCTGGTAGGGAGAGACAGCTAGAAACACAGGCACCCTCTTAAAGGGCCAACACACCAAATTTCGTCTTTAGCCACTCACCTTGGGCTCCAGCAGAGGGAGGGCAGAGTGGACTAGAGCTACGTGAAGAGAGTCTGGGGTTAGTGGCTCTGAGGAGCTAAGAGGACAGCTGCCAGGATCCCTGTGCTGAGTCAGTACCCTATGATACAGAAACCATCTTTCTCAGGAACCAATAGCCCCACCCATTGGAAACCTTCTCCCTGCACCTAGTGGAATTTACACATGCTGAAGACTACAGACTGAGGCTCATGGAGTGACTAAGACTAACAGTCAACCTGAAAGCAGAGGCAGATCTCTGGGTGCTTTGAATCTTTGCCTTATTTGGTCAGGATCCAAGGCTAGAAAAAGCAGACCATGGTGGACAGCTTGATCCTTTCTACACACACTGAGCCACAACAGAGGAAGCCACAAACTGTGGATTGCTGATAGGTCCAAACAGGGCCAGTCACAAACAGCCTCGAAAAGGGCCTGCACCAGAGCAGAGACCCTCTGAAGAGGCCTAAAATGAATAAACCCAGTGGCCAACTTCAGAAAAGAACAGAGCAGGATCAGATAAACTTCACAAGTCATATATCCATAGGGAGATCCTGGCAGCTCCCAACCCTGCTGAGATAAATTCTGCTTTGCGTAAACAGCACCTGCACAGCAGTCTGCACACTGTTGGGTGTTGAGCCTCTCTGTCACAGACTGAGGGTTGAGCCCATGCACAAACAGGCTGATAGCAATCAAGACTCTATTAAAACAGAATGGCCCACACAATGCACACAAGAAACATTACTAGAGCACTCAGGTCTGGTGATCAGGAAGATTATGGCACCAGGTCCCACAGGCCACCTACTATATAAGGCCACCCTACCAAGACTGGGAGTCATAATCTACATAATAAATAGAAACTAACTGAAAAGGCAGCAGAAATGGGGAGACAAAGAAACAAGCAGCAAATGAAAGAACAAGAGAAGTCTCCAGAAGAAGAGCTAAATGAAATGGAGATAAGAAATTTATCAGATATAGAGTTTAGAGTAATGATTTTAAGGATGGTCAACAGCATGATAAAAAGATATATAAACTATAAAAAACAACTAGTCAGGAATAAAGAATAACACAGCAGAAAAAAGGAATACACTGGAAGAAATAAACAGTAGATTAGAGGAAGCTGAGGATTGGATCGCAGAATTAAAAGACAGGGTAGAAAATAATCACTCAATCAGAGAACCAAAAAGAAAAAAAAAAACATTTAAAACAGGAGGACAGCCCTGGCTAATATGGCTCAGCTGTTAGAGCATTAGCCAACAGACTGAAGGGTCATAGGCTCGATTCCTGGTCAAGGGCACATACCTGGGTTGCAGGATCAATCCCTGGCCCAGGTCAGGGTTGTGCAGAAGGCAACCAACTGTTGTCTCTCTCTCACACACATCGATGCTTCTCTCTCTCTCTCTACACACACACACACACACACACACACATTTCTCTCCCTGCCTTCCACTCTAAAAAAAAAAAAAAAAGGAAAAATATCCTCAAGTGAGGATTAACAAAACCAACAAACACAGGAGGACAGATTAGGGGAGCTGTGGAACAACATGAAACACAACAATATCCAAATCAAAAAAGTACAAGGAGAAGAAAGTGAGCAAGGGATAGAGAACCTGTTTGAAGAAACAATGGCAGAAAAATTCCTAACTTGGTGAAGGAAAAAGTCACACAGTTCAGGAAGCACAGAGAGTCCCAAGCATGAAAAACCCAAAGAGGGGCACAAGCCAAGGCACGTCATAATTAAAATGCCAGAAATGAAAGACAAAGAGAGAATCTTATAGGCAGCAAGAGAAAAGCAATTGGTTACCCACAAAGGAGCTCCCCTAAGGCTGTCAGCTGATTTTGCAACAGAAACAATAAAGGCCAGAAAGGAATGGCATGAAATTTGCAAGGTAATGAAAAGCAAGGATCTAAAACCAGGACTACTCTATCCAGCAAGGCTATCATTCAAAATAGAAGGTAAAATAAAAAGCTTCTCAGACCAAAAAAAAAAAAAAAGGGGGGGCTGTAAGAGTTTATTACCACCAAACCAGCACTGTAAAAAATGTACAAGAGACAGCTGTAATAGTAATAAGAAACAGAGAGAAAAACATGGACATAAAGATTTAAAATGACAATAAATAAGTACCTATCATTAACAACCTTAGATGTAAATGGATTAAATGCTCCAATCAAAAGACATAGCATAGCTAAATAAATATGAAAACATGACCAGCCCTGGCCGGTTTGGTTCAGCAGTTAGAGCATCAGCCCGCAGACAGGAGAGACCTGGGTTCGGTTCCCGGTAAGGGCATGTACCTTGGTTGCAGTTTGTCCCAGGCCCTGGTTGGGATTGTGTGAGTGGCAACCAGTCGATGTGGCTCTTTCATATTGATGTTTCTCTCTCTCTCTCTCTCCCTTCCTCTCTCCCTCCTGCTCTGCCTGAAGATAAATGCAAAAATGTTCTCAGGTGAGAATAAAAAAGTATATATTGCCCTGGCCGGTTTTGCTCAGTGGTTGGAGCATTGGCCCGTGTACCAGAGAGACCCAGGTTCGGTTCCC